CCCCCAGCGATACAGCTGTTCCCCCAAGGTCCTGTTAACCCCCTGCTCAGATACAGCATGAGCAGCAGTGCAAGTTTTCCCAACATGGCCCCAGGACCATGGTTTGGTCCTGATTTCTGGGGCAAGAGTCATAGCCATTTCCAGCCCCCGGGGAGGACTGCCCATAAGGGAGCCAGCTAGTGCTACCTGGGATGGCAAGTCTTTGGGAGATGGACACCTGCGCCTCTCCACGCTGGCTAGATGCCCCAAGGCAAATTGCAAAGCCATTCTAGCTCTGCGATTCCTACAAGGCGTAGGCAGGAAACGGGAAAGCCCCACCTGTAGTTTTTGAAGCTTCAAGACTGAGCCACTGGCTGTGAGCCAAAAGATAACGCAGACGGCATTTCCTCCCTGTTGAAGGGGAGGAGGTTCGCCTGAGTTATTTTTCAAATTCGAATAGCAGCCAGTCCCCTTAGAACTCAGCCTTATCGCCAGAGATGAGGGCACGTCTGTGTGCAACGGTGTTCATATTCATACCAGTGTTTCAGTGTTATTCCATCCCCAGCTGGAGCAGGAGAAAGACCATTTGCAGTGTTGGTTTCATGTGCAGCTGCACAGCGGGTGTAGAAAGAGGCGATCCTGGAGGCCAAAGGCAATGGGGCTACAGCAGGTCACTTGTCAAGAAGGAGGTTGCATGTCACTCTCCAACAGCCATGAACATAAATGTTCCCACCAGTGAGAACGGTTTCTTGCATGCAGCACAGTCTCCTTGCTACATGCTCGCTGGAACAAACACTTTTCATGCAGCACATTGTGGGCACCGGGACACTACATTCACCAGGAACCAGGCTGAAGAATCAAAACCAGCAGCTTGTCCCGCTTCTGGGAACTAGAGCTGGCCTGGAATTTTTCAACTCATTTTTCTTTTTTATTTCAGTCAGAAAATGCGAATTTGTTGAAACCAAAACTTTCTGCAGAAATGTATCAGTTTGGGCAAAACTTCTGTTGGGAGGCTTCTGGGGTCCAGGATAGAATTTCTGGTCAAAACAGAGACACAGTGACAGAGAGCGAGAGGGTTAGGATACTCACTGGGCTATTGTGGGATGGGATGGTCTGTCTGTAGCTACTGGATTTTTGGTTCAGTGGCTAAACTGAAGAATTGGAAAAATTAATTTGGGGTCAAACAAAACCTGTTTTGGGATTTTTTAAAATTTTTTAAAAACAAAAGTGAAGTAAAATTTGAAACAAAACATTTGGCAACAATAATTTGAAAAGGTTCAATTGAAATCTCTTCTCGCTCTCTTTTTTTAATTGAAACAATGAGTTACATTTGATTCAAATTTGTGAAATGTTTCAATCAATCTGAATCTGCCTTTTTGGCAGGGCCCCTGGCGGGGGGTGGGGCGGGAAGTGGGGCAATTAGCCCCAGGCCCCACAGGGACCCCGCGAGCCCCGGCCCGGCGGCGGTCCAGGTCTTTGGCAGCATTTCAGCAGTGGGTCCTTCAGTTAGGGTGACCAGATGTCCTGATTTTATAGGGACAGTCCCGATTTTGGGGTCTTTTTCTTATATAGGCTCCTATAACCCCCCATCCCCTGTCCTGATTTTTCACACTTGCTGTCTGGTCACCCTACCGTCAGTGCTGCCGAAGACGCGGAGTGACTGAAGGGCCCCCCGCCGCCGAAATGCTGCCGAAGACCCGGACTGCCGCCGGGTGAGTACAAGTGCTGCAGCTCCCCCGCTTTGCCCCAGGCCCCCTGAATCCTCTGGGCGGCCCTGCTGTTTGGGGGAAAAAATTCTGTCCGAAAAATTTCACAACACTAGATCGATCTATCAGTCTCTCTCGTGTTTTTTTCATATATATTTATTTTAAAAGGGTCTCATTTTTGTTCTGCATCAGAACAAAATCAAATTCTGAAATCGTCACATTTTTGGCAAAACAGAATTCTTGTTTTCCGGCTGGCCCTATTGGGAACCAGTGACAAAGCTGGTGCAAGGCACAATTCACCTAACAGGAAGGAACCCCCACAATTCTTGCTACTGGCTTGCAGGCTGTGCAAGCATAGAATGATATCATTTCACAAAGAGCACTCCAGTGTCTCCCAGGTCAGCCTAGTGACTATACAACGTAGATAAGAACAAGAGTGTTACTCCAGGGCCAGCTCCAGTTTTTTTGCGGCCCCAAGCGAAGCAAACAAAAAAGAAAGAAAAGATAAAGCCGCGATCGGCAGCACTTTGGCAGCTGCTCTACTGCGCCACTTCATTCTTCGGCGGCCGGTCCTTCCCTCCGAGAGGGACTGAGGGACCCGCCGCGGAAGACCAGGACATGCCACCCCTTTCCGTTGGCCGCTCCAAGCACCTGCTTCCCTTGCTGGTGCCTGTAGCTGGCCCTGGTTACTCATATAATTCTAATTCCTTCTTCTCAGGGGGACTGATCCTGTGAAATGTTGAGTGTCCTCAGTGCCCCCTGGTCTCAATGAGAAGTAAGGATGCTCAGCTCCTAGTTATTGTTTATTATTTGTATTACCATAGCACCTAAAGGTCCCAACCCAAGATCAGGGCTCCATTTGTTCCAAGCACTGCACAAATGCATAGTTAGAGAGAGAAAGACCTTGCTCTAAAGAGCTTACAGTCTAACCAGACAAGCCAAGATCATGCAGCAAAGCCAGGATTCATACCCAGTCCCCAGCTATCTAGGACAGTGCTTTACCCACCAACCCACGCTGCCTCCTTTACCTTGCAGGAACAAGTCCAGAGAGAGCAAGTTGAGAAAGATTGGGCTTATTTTGCTGTGATTTTGTTGCCAAGTTGACAGCTGGTGATTGGCACTGTACCTGCTAGCTAGCCCAGACCAAGGTTTCAGAAGTGGGCTCTCTTTTCTCACGCATCAACCTGTAGTTCCAGGCGCTAGCTGGTATTTGTGCATGCAAACTGCACCACTAGCTGCTTGCGTTCACACTACAAACGGGCGACTTGTACATGCAAACAGGTGGGCATGAAAAATTTGCCCGTGTACGTTTAGAAGCTGGGTTGGCCACCAGCTTTAGAGGCGGTCCTAAAGTAACTAGAGAACATGTGGTGTCTTCAGGCTGCGGGGTCAACTCATAAGGTGAATGGTTCTGCTCTTGGACACCCTCTAGGAGAGGTTGCGTCATAGAGAGCTCTTCAGAGCACCTCACACGGAACCGTTACTGTAAAGCACTTCCATAGGGAAGAGTGCAGCTAGCTAATAAAATGGCAGCTACTATGAAGATGGTGGGGAAATACCCTACTAACATGTAAGGGGCGTCTTAATTGCTGAGATATGCGCATTGAAAGGGCCGAAAGAAGGTGTAAATCACACCCGTTTGGACTCCTCTGGGAGCTCACATTTTCTTAGACTGAGCTCTGCACTTGGCCCAGTTCATGGGCAGGTAAATTAAGTGTAAGGGACAGTTCCAGGATTAGGTATTAGATTATTAGTTATATTGCACTAACCCCTAGAACAGGCGTCACTCATTAGCGGTGTCTCCCATCTGGTGGTGGGATGCAGGTTGTATGCGCCCTGCGTATCGGAGCAGCAGAGATACGGACAGGAAGCATCCTGATTCTCTACCAGCGGAGCTAAGGCGAAGTCTCTCCTTGGCCAAACCAGCAGGAGCTGCATCAAGCTTGTCTCACGTGCAAGACCCTCTTGGCAAGTCTTGCTGTGATGGCCAGCCACCTCCATCACCCACCCATGCAGGGGAAAGAATCACCCCTTTAAAGCGGACAGCAGGGTAGCACAGAGATGATTGACCTGTAGCTTCATTGGAAGAGTCAGGCAAGAGTTAGAGCAGTTGTTGAAAATCCACTCTGCCTCTGCATGCAAGGAGCCGGAGAGATCCAGCGAGTGACATTTCTGGGCTGCTCTGTAAGTGGTTCACAGCACGACATGCTATTTGCATTTCACAAACCGTCATTTTATTATTACAAAACAGAAACAAACCCAACCTAATAAAAACAAGCACTTTGCTGCCTTCTCCAGTCACGGAGGGAAGTAGAGCTGGGGAAATAGTGGATTTTTCAGTTCACTGTCAAAGCCACACACAAAAATTGTTTTGGGGCAAACGGAAAATGAAATTTTTCAGCATTTTTGGTGACTCGAAGAACCGGAAAAAAATAATGTGGGGTCAAACAAAACCGTTTGATTCCGTTTTGTCAAAATGAAACCAAACAAAATGTTTTGTTTCTATTTTGACCATTTTTAAAGGTTTTTGACTATTTTACTAAAACGGAAGCACGTTTTGAAAGGAAAAGAATGGAAAAATCAAAATGTTCCATTTCAAAAGTGTCAGAATTTATTTCAGAATTTTTTTTTATATTTTATTTTTACACAAATTTGGCAAAACTGACATGAATTCACAACATATTTTGGTGTCACTGAACCTGCATGTTTTGCTGAAAAACTCCCCCCCCCCCCCCAGCACCAGTGGGAAGGCTTAAAGTGTACAGGAACAAGTTCTGGGAGTGCTTTCCCGTCTATGGCATTAACCCACCTATCCTGTAAGTCTAGGGTCAGGCCTTTCATTCCACAACCCACACCCCTTTTCCCCCTACCAGCCTTAAGCAGTAACAGAAAACAAAACCAATAGATTAAACCAAAATGTGATGGAGCAAGAGGTAATGCTGTTCTACAGATACCAAGCAGCTTAATGAAACTGAAGGCAACAAATAAACTTTTATGGGTTAATTTTCACACCTGGGTGCCAAAATACCCATTTCAGGCACTCAAGCGTTAATTGCATGGAGTACTGGCTTGGCTCACCCCCCAGCTCTGACATAGGGGATGTAAAAAATTATTATTCTAATATTTCAGTGGGGAAACAGAGACACAATTATGCCCACAAACGCATACGGAGACACTGTCAGAGCCAGGAATAGATCTCAGCCCTGTACGGGAGCCACAACACCCAATAAGCTTAAATACCTCTTTCAATTTCCCTTTGACTCTTCCTTCCCAGCTAAATTTCCATGGTTTGACATCCTTAAAAAATGTCCTGTGCCTGGAAATGGCTTTGCAATAGACTGTACATGGGTGATTCTAGCCCACCTTTGCTCTTCTGGTACCAGCAGGAACCTTCAGTGCTGTGGCTTGCAGCTCCAAACCATCAAATACAGAGTCACTCTACTTACAACACACAGGCTCTGAAGGAAGGTGAGGTAAAGTAAATATTGAACAGGAGTTTCTATCTTTCCCTCACAGACTCCACTGGACCGCCATCTGCACAAATGAAGATGGACTGCGACCGTGGCAAGTCGTCCAAACCCCAGGGTGTCAAAGTGAGCAAATCAATTTCCACCATTTGCTCTTCCTCAAGTAATGCCAACTGCCATGAAAGCCACCCCATCCAAGGCCCTGCGAGGCGAGCACAGGGTAGGACCCACAGTGAAAAACTGGCCCCATCCCCAGTTATCATGTCAGCTGCTGCTAGAGAGAGTCAAATGTCAGACTTCTATAATGGCAATGTGGTCATGGGGTGCCCCTCTGATGCCTCACAGAAGCTCCATCAAAGGACTACCAAGGAGAGCCGGTGGAATGGGGAGACCACTCCGAAGGAAATCATAGCAACAAAGAGCATAGCCAATGCCCCCAAGGATTCCCCCATCAAGCGTACTTTCCTGTTTGGGGCAAAAAGAATTGACAATGGCAGCAAGGTGACCCTGAAGAAATCTACCATCCATAAGCCGCCTGAGAAGGGTTGTTCTCCACTAGCTGTTTCCAGAGAAGGGATGGATGGCTTGAGAGGAGAGAGGCAGGCATGGTCCAGCGTGACCCAGAGAAAGAAAAGGCGAGACCTTTTCCCAGACTCAAAGGTTTTCAGCCACATAGACGCTCATGTTCTGTGTGTGAGCGAGCAGGTAGGTACTGTCGGCACAAGCTTCCTCCAAGGTCTATATAGATATTGTGAATGAGAAACCAGCCTTTTAATGCTTTGGCTAATGATGAGCCTGTCTTATGAGTCGAGACAAAAATCACAGCGGGAGGCTGCTGTGGGCATGAACAAATGGCTTTCCTCTCCAGCAAAATTAAAACAAGGGCCAAGGTGTGTAGCCTTGGATCAGCCTAAGATGCAAACGTCCTTATTGCTAATAACAGGTTCTTTTACTGAGGCGGCTACATAAGAAATTGTATTGAGTCGGTGAAGTATGCACAAAATGTATGAGCTTTGGTTAGTACAGACAAGCATAATTGAAATTGTAAGGGAAGATTACACAAATAGTAGAATAAATATAACCCCCTGGATCATACATATATATAGATAGATAAACATTCCCCCCGCCCAAGTTGTTATATTTACAGCCATGTGCATACTTACAACTTTATGGTGGCCATTAGAGACAAAGATGAAAAAAAAATAGTAAATGGAGATCACCACCAGACAGCTTGTTCGTATTCTGCCATTCGATTGTCCCTGGTGTTCCAAGTAGGGGTTGGTCTGACCATCTTTTTCATACACATTTTCCTTGGTTCCCTCCCACATCTGGGATAATATTTGATTTAGGTCTCATGTGCCCATGTTTAGTATTACGGGGGACCGTAATCAGGGGTACGGCTCATTTGCGTCACTTCATTTCCAACAGTTTGGATACGTGAATGTGGTTTCTCTGTGGTTACATGTACCAAAAAAAAAATCAATCCCCTAGAAGTGTTATTTCAAGCTTAAGCTGCCCTTTTGTGGTGTACTTGTTTATCACAAGAGGCATATTGCCAACTGTTAGAACCCTAGGTCACGCACTTCGGGCTAACTAGCTAGGCCTCATGCTTGCAAAGCCTTTAACAAATCTTTTTACATTTGCTTTCCATGATAAAATGTGTTAAGATAGTAAAATTAGTAGAGCTGTAATTTAATATGCGTTAACACAGGCTATAATTTAAGTTTGCACCCTAAAATCAGGTCGGGGTTACAGGTCAACAGGTGCCCAACCTGAGACGCCTCAGAGGGGCCTGAAAACACCGAGTACTCTAAAAACCAGGTCCCTTTTAAGGTGTCAGGTAAGGCACCCCAAACCAGCCACATCTAGAAATCTTGGTCCCAGTTGGCTTGAGCCAAGAAGAGTCTCCATGAGAGACTTGTAGTCAGCCTCATACCTTATTTAGCAGTTCATGACATGACTTAAGTCTGGGCCAGAGCTTAAGGAGATCCTATGTGATAAAATGAGGCAGCAAAAAGTTGTGCTTAAGTAGTTGGGGCTAGAGAGCCAGTGTCTTTCTTGTTCAGAAAAGAGAGAGCGAGAGAGAACACCAGAGACAACCACAGGGTCTGTCTGTGTCCGGCCAGGGCCATTGCAAGGACGTTTTGCGCCCTAGGCGAAATTTCCACCTTGCGCCCCCCCCATCCAGCCCTGCAGCAGCTCCCCGTTCCCCCCCCCCCGCGGCAGCTCCCTCCCTCTGCCCTGAGGGCCCCCCCCTCCACGGCAGCTTCCCCCACCGGGGAGCCATGCGGCAGCTCCCCTCCCCAGCTCACCTCTGCTCCACCTCCTCCCCGAGCACGCCGCCCCCGCTCTAATTCTCCTCCCCTCCCAGGCTTGCGGCGCCCAACAGCTGATTGGCGCTGCAAGCCTGGGAGGCAGGAGAAGTGGAGCGGTGACCACGCGCTCAGAGAGGGGGCGTAGGAACGCTGTTCAAAAAAATTGGGGGCACCGCTTTTTGGCACCCCCAAACCTTGGCGCCCTAAGCAACCGCCTAGTTTGCCTAAATGGTAGCACCGGCCCTGTGTCCGGCAGCTGCAATAAAGAATCCCTTTTTTATCCAATACATCTGCTCATTCTCAACCATAAGGCATTCTACTGGGTCCTCTTTGCAGGACAACCACTGAACAGACAATCAGAAGCCAATAAAGGCTAAACTGGGTGTAAGATTCAAGCCAGCTCCCTGGCACATCTCACCACATGAGGTTTAGAGAGTGGTGCTCTAGAAGGTCTAAAGTTTAACTGCAGTTGTGCAATGATACATGTTTGACTGCATAAGAGGTCCAGAGATTGGCACACAAACAAATTATAATGAAGCACTATTACCTACACTAAACACCACCAGGTTAGCCTCAAGACCACCATAATGTGTCAAAGATCCAACAGTTTAATTGACGACCTTTTGTTACTTACACACCAAAGGTTAAGTAGAGAGAAGGCAAAAGTTCAGTTATTTACTCGGTGCTGAAAGTAATTGCTCTCCCTGTTCTGTAGAAATCTGTCATTCATACCCAGCCGCAGGCTAGCATCGCTTGGGATTTGGAGGCAATTTTGTCTCCATGCAAGCTTGGCTTCAGGACCATGGAGATTACCTCATATGCTAAAACGGAGCTTGGGAGAGGTGGAGGCAACAGTAACAAAAACAATAAAGGCACCCCTGGGAATAGAGAGCTGTACAAACCACCCACCTGCTTATTTAAAATACTGAATGTACTGCAATCTAGTGCACTTTGTCATTTTCCCCTCTCCGGAATTATTATTGTGAATGCCGACAATAGGAAGATAACCATCTACATTGCAGATGTGCGTGGGTCCAGTACGTTCTGCCTCTGGAGATCACCACTCTTCAATGGCACAGGTCTTCCCTGGGGTCAGGAACTGCCTCCACCTCTCCCCACATGCCAGCCCAGCTGACAGCTCCCCAGAACGAGCTTCTCTCCGCAAGAGACCCAACAGGGAGCCCTTCAACTTTAGACTCAAAGCCAAATCAGGCCTTAAGCCAGCTGGTAGCAGTGCTGTTGACCTCAGTGGGGCTATTTACACACATAAGGGTTTCTCCTGTGACTAAAGCTTTGGGGGGGGTTGGGAGGAGGGAACCCAGTCACTCAATCCAGAGTGGTCAAGAGGAGCCACTGGCCCCGTTTACCTAGCACCTAGAAACCGGGGCCCAAATTCTTAGCTGTGCCCAGTATCCACAGGCATGATCAGGAGCAGGGACTGCCGAGGACCTGCTTGCAGATGCCCATTTCTGGGATCTGTTCCTAGCCAGGTCTGGCCCAAGTGTAGTTGAGAGCAACCTCGGGGCTGCTCCATGCCATGTGCTGACTCACTCATGCTGTGTGAATCCCCAGCTAGCAAGTTCTAGCCATATTTTGACCCTTTCACACCACGGGAGGATGCAAAGGGACCAGTACTTACAAGTGAGTCTGGCCCTACCGTGAGCACCATACAAAATGACAGATAGACAGACATTAATGTATCTCGTGATACACATTCAACTTGCTCACATAAAATCCTGTCCTCACCAGATAAAATCAAAGCCAGCTTTGCTGTCAGTCCAGACCATTGTTCAGTTGATTACTGACAAGGCCCGAAGCAAGCTGGAGACCGTGCGAGCAATATGGATGTGGCTGTGTCACAATATCCGTGAGTACGTTTTTCATTCAGCTCGACTCATAGTAGAGTGATTTGTCTAGGTTGAGGAGGATGGTCATTAGGAACTAGCCTAGGCCTCGGGAGCCCCAGGCTTGATTCCCCTCCTTCACCAGAAAATTTGCTAGTGGGACCCCCAATTTACACCAGCTGAGGATCTGTCCCCAAGGTTTTACCAATTCTTCTTTCATTTGGGGAGTTGCCAATGCCTCTGGATAATGGTTGTGGTTTCATTTCCTCCTCTTAGGATATGATGTGGATGGCTTCTTAGGGTTATCTCAGAAGATCCATACCCCAGAACAGGTCCTGCAGACTGGAAGAGGCGTGTGCTCCGGTTATGCCCATTTATGCCAAGAAATGTGCAGGTATAAATTAACCTAGGTATTACCTTCCCACCAACACTGTGAGAATGGCTGGCACTGCTGAACAAAACATGTCGTGTGTTTATTTCCGTGCTACGTTGTGTCCATTCACAGGGTGCCCTGCTCTGGCCTGGAGACTTGACTTTTGTTCTTTCTTGTTTTTGTCACTCTCTTATTCCAAAATAAAAGCCATTCTGTCTGAAAACCGTGACCTAGGCAAAGAACAAATAAAGAATTGGGAAGGTCATTGCTGATCTTCACAGCCAGCAAGCTCCACTAAGGGGCTATTAAAGCAATGGAGGTGCCCTGAGCTCAACAGCAAGAACATGACCATAAACATCTTGGAACGGAGATTACAGAAGTCTGAGCTATCACGTCATCTGAGTGGTCAGCAGTTAATTAAGCACCAACTCTGAGGGGTTTCCAGCCTAATCTGTGTTTTCCTACCATGAATGTTTCCATCCTTACAGGGAGGCAGGTTTGAGCTGCATTCAAGTGTCGGGCTATGGGAGAGGTACTGGATACCAACAAGGGCAAAACTGCCAACAAAAGAAATCCAACCACATGTGGAACGCAGTTCAGCTGGAAGGGCAGTGGTACCTGCTGGATGCATGCTGGGGTGCAGGCACTGTGGATGCGGAGAAGAGATTGTTTATACCCAGGTGAGACACTGACCTAGGGTGACCAGACAGCAAGTGTGAAAAATCGGGACGGGGGTGGGGGGGTAATAGAAGCCTATATAAGAAAAAGCCCCAAATATCGGGACTGTCCCTATAAAATCGGGACATCTGGTCACCCTACACTGACCCCTTCACAACCTCTCGTTTCTCATTTCCAAACAAAGAAATCCTCTTATTTCTGATGTGACTAAATTAGCCGTTCTCGGCCTTTCCGTACCGTGACTCCATGTTACAACAGAAAAAAGGTCCAGGGTCCCCACCCTCCCTCTCATCTAGTCCTCAAGAAAGGGCTGGTAACTGCGAATCCCTGAAACCTGAACACAGACCTCACCTCCAGGGATCACCAGGCCCCCATGGTTGAGACCCCATAGCCTAGAACACTGGAGAGAGACTTATTTAATATATGTAAATCAGTAACTCCAATACATCAGCCACCTTGGCTCATTCTATGGTGATCTGTGAGTTACAGCAGGAAATTGGGAATCAGTATTTCTGGTTGCTATCCCTGCCCGTATAACTTCCCACACCGTTCTGCAAAGAGAATCATGGGCTAGATCCCCCAGCATTCAAAACAATTAATGTTTTGCATCTGATTTGAACGGAAGGAGAATCAAACCCTATATGGGGACGGTCAGGGATGGCATATAGAGGTGGATTCATTTTGGAATCCATCTCTAAGCCACTAAAGTAGATGAGCCCAGTTTCCTCCGTCCACCCACAAATAGCTCTCCTAAAACAGATGTTGCATGTATGGATTTGCACCCCATGGTTGGAGTGCCTCATGGACCTAAATACTTAGAGATTTGATCCAAAGCCTATTGAAATCAAAGGGAGTTGCCACATTGACTTCAATGAGATTTGGATCAAGCCAGAAGTGGGAGCCTAAAATTAAATTATAAACACATACTTCTACCCCGATATAACGCGACCCGATATAACACGAATTCGGACATTACGCGGTAAAGCAGCACTCCGGGGGGGGGGGGCTGCGCGCTCCGGCGGATCAAAGCAAGTTCAATATAACGCAGTTTCATCTATAAAACGGTAGGATTGTTTGGCTCCCGAGGACAGCGTTCTATCAGGATAGAGGTGTGTGTATATATATATATACACACACACACACACACACACACACACACACACCACCACCACCACTATTTACGAACAACTAATAGTTGGGCATCTGACGAGGAAGAAATCTAG